TAAATTTCTTCGCCTAGTTTGCGAAGACCCAGACGGCAGTGTTACCGGTGAGGTCTTCTTGGCAACCCTAGTAAATTTCTTCGCCTAGTTTGCGAAGACCCAGACGGCAGTGTTCCCGGTGGGGTCTTCTTGGCAACCCTAGTAAATTTCTTCGCCTAGTTTGCGAAGACCCAGACGGCAGTGTTACCGGTGGGGTCTTCTTGGCAACCCTTGCAAATTTCTTCGCCTAGTTTGCGAAGACCCAGACGCCATCCGGTTTGGTTTTGGGTCGAAATTTCTTCGCCTAGTTTGCGAAGACCCAGACGGCAGTGTTACCGGTGGGGTCTTCTTGGCAACCCTAGTAAATTTCTTTGCCTAGTTTGCGAAGACCCAGACGGCAGTGTTACCGGTGGGGTCTTCTTGGCAACCCTAGTAAATTTCTTCGCCTAGTTTGCGAAGACCCAGACGGCAGTGTTCCCGGTGGGGTTTTCTTGGCAACCCTAGTAAATTTATTCGCCTAGTTTGCGAAGACCCAGACGGCAGTGTTACTGGTGGGGTCTTCTTGGCAACCCTTGCAAATTTCTTCGCCTAGTTTGCGAAGACCCAGACGGCAGTGTTACTGGTGAGGTCTTCTTGGCAACCCTAGTAAATTTCTTCGCCTAGTTTGCGAAGACCCAGACGGCAGTGTTACCGGTGAGGTCTTCTTGGCAACCCTAGTAAATTTCTTCGCCTAGTTTGCGAAGACCCAGACGGCAGTGTTCCCGGTGGGTCTTCTTGGCAACCCTAGTAAATTTCTTCGCCTAGTTTGCGAAGACCCAGACGGCAGTGTTACCGGTGGGGTCTTCTTGGCAACCCTTGCAAATTTCTTCGCCTAGTTTGCGAAGACCCAGACGCCATCCGGTTTGGTTTTGGGTCGAAATTTCTTTGCCTAGTTTGCGAAGACCCAGACGGCAGTGTTACCGGTGGGGTCTTCTTGGCAACCCTAGTAAATTTCTTTGCCTAGTTTGCGAAGACCCAGACGGCAGTGTTACCGGTGGGGTCCTCTTGGCAACCTTTGCAAATTTCTTTGCTGTTTGCGAAGACCCAAGCAGTAGTGTTACCGGCGGGGTTCTTTTGGTTATCCTCGCAGAAATATGTATAAAAAATAACAAGAATTCTAGTATTGAAGTGCAGAAACATAAAAAGCATTCAAAAGCCGGCTCAGCCGGTGAAAATGTTAATATTCAAAATAAAAATTATTACAGCTTAGCCCATCTCATCCGGTGCTATTACAAGATAATGCAAGGCGCGCAGGCCGGGAAGTAGTTGCTACTCCAGGCGAACAGTGAACCGGTCCTCTTCCGGTTGGTTCTGGGTTGGATTAGGGTGAGCGGCTGCGTCGGCTTCAGGAACAACTTCTTCCTCTTCAGCAGCCTCCGCCTGCCGTCGCGCAATCTCCTCCCTAACCCAAGCGTCATAGGGTCCGGGCCCCGGCTCATTCGCCTCCTCGGCCAGAATGGCAAGATCAGAATATTTGAAGGCGAGTTCCCAGACGGTGAAGTCCGCCTCCGGGTGGATGAGGGAAAACGCCCGTTGCATCCGGTTTTCACAGTCATGCTCATTCTCTTCAATGAGCCTCTCCTGCTCCGACTCCAAGGTGGCCTTGAAGTTCTCATTGGCAGCAGCCGCCTCTTTGCGCAGGCGCTCATTCTCTTTGGCAAGGCGGCCATTTTCAGTCTCCGCCTTGCTCAGCCGTTGGAGGGGCTCTTTCTGTTCCTCCAACTTTTTATTGGCATCATCCAGGGACGCCTGCAGTTGGTCAACTTGGTTTTTCAGCTGATCAATCTGCTGTTGGAGGGTCTTGGTCTTCTCCGCCTGTTCCATGCGTATAGATTTAGATTCTAAGCCATGCATGTACAAAGAGTAGTCAGCAACATTATGGGCGTCATCAACAGCCCGTTTGCTTCTCCTTACCTCTTCAGACTTGCGGGTATAAGCTCTTTGAGCCCCTCTACGCGCAGCATAGCCTGCAAAAATACAACCGGTTAATACTGCATATTTAAAAATGCACGTCAAGAAAATTACCGCATGGTTGTTGGAGCATACGTCGGCCAGGTCGACCAGCACCCGGTCGGCATTAAAGGAGTTGATCCCAGGGATCGCCTCCTTCTCGTCCCTGGGGACGGCTTTCAGCATGGCCCGGGCATATTGTGCCCCGTCCGGCCAGCGGGGAGAATTATCTGCACCAGAAACAGACGGTGAGAAACTCGCATATGCTCTGCCTATAGATTGCCGGCTGATTGGAGAATCCCCCGGCTGCGATCGAGACTGTGAATAAGACTTGACCCGCATGGGCAGGTCAAGCAGTGTAAGGTCGAAGTTACCTTGGCGGCCCGAACGGCCTTCAGAGGGACCGGTTGCGGTCCTCAATGGGATGGCAGAAAGCACATCCGCAGATCCAGGCCCGCCTGGGACCTTTATTGATTTGCCGCCGGTAGTTTGCCGGTCGGCTGTCTTCTGCACCTTGGATGCAGACTCTTGTTGGGTGGCGGAGGCCTGACCTGTTTTTGAAGGGACCGGGGCATCTGCTTCCCGTCCTATAAACGAGAAAAATATAAGTTATGGGATAAAAGGATTGAAATAAACGAGAAGGATCAGACGGTTATACCTTCCTCGCCGCCTGGGCAGCAAGTTTTTTCTCGAGATTGGCTTTCCGGATGTCGGCAGCCGACCTAGCCGGTGTCTTCTCGGTGGGCAGCATTTTCTTGGCTTCTTCTGCAGAGGAAGGCACACGGTTAGAATAATAAATAAGCAAGGAAATAAAAGCATCCGGTTTGAAAGAAACCGGCTGAGTTCCGAATACATACGTTTTTTAAACATGCTGCTTAGACCACAAGCGGACAAGAAGCATTCGTCCCTAAAAAATTCATGTTTGGGCACCCAGTTTCTAGGTACCCTTACTATCTCTCTGGATGAGAGGGTGTCAGGAACTAACTCAAAAAACCCGGAGTCAAGGATGGTCTCTCTATCATCCTCCGGGACAGGGGGCAGGCAGCACTTGGTCCCCAAGAGTTCTGGTTTCCGGTTGTAGATCCGGAATTCTCTGTTCTCTGCCGTAGTTGGGGCCTTAACCAAGTAGAACCGGTGCTTCCAGTCCGACCATTTGGATGGCTTGTCCAAGGTCATAAGGTATTTGGGCTGGGTAGTCAAGGTATACCAGGCTCTCCAGCCGCCTGGGCTCCTACTCAAGTAATGCATGTGGGCAAACGCCTCCCAGCCGGGGTTGAGGCCCTGCATCTCGCAGGCGGCGATATACCCTAAAATATTTACCCATGAGTTGGGGGTTAATTACCAGAGACCTAGGCCATACCCCCTAAGTATGGCTTTTATTGTGTCGTGGAGAGGGAAGCGGACTCCGGCCACGAAGGCCGCCTCGTAGCACCCGAACCAAGCGTTCGCATTCGGTTGTCCATCCTCCCACCATATTGTTCCCAGAGCAGCCGAGATTTTTATTGTATAGTCACCCCCCAGCGGCCGCCGTTTGATAAAATCTGGCAGCGCAGCCCGCATGAGCTCGCGGTCCTTAGAGGAGACGGCGATCATGAGAGGATCGTTCCTATTATCCCAAGAAGGCCTCTCCGCCTCCTCGCTATCCTCAGATTCGGTTAAGTAGCTGCTACTGCTACTTTGAACGTGACCGGCATCAGAGCTGGCTGGGGAGTTGGAGACCTTATCAGAGCCTACCTGCTCTCTGGTCTCCTGGAGGGGAGCAGTCTCTTCGTTTAAAATGCTATCACCCGGGGTGCTAGGAGCGCCCCCGGGTGAGCCTCTCTGCTCTACCTCTCCTTGCTCTACTTCACCGCCTGAAGCTGGGACCTCAGGCGGCTGCTCATCTGAGCTCCCACTTCTGTAGTTGGGATCTCTGGCAGTAGACCGGATTCTGGCCATTGTGTCCTGCACAGACACAGAGTCGGTCGATATGGGTGTTGAAAAAGGGTTGTCCCAAAGAACAGAGGCGGCAGACCCAGTTCTAGACTCAGCCGTACTAATAAACCGGCTGAGTTCACAGCTAGGTTCCGGGTATGGGTATAAGGGGTCCATCTACTTATGGGACCAATGAACAAAAATGCGAGTAAAAGACTCAAACGGAAATACATGAAAAAGCTAGAAAGAATAGAGACGGTACCTAGAAGAAAATCTGGAAATTCTTTGGGATGCTTGCGAAGACGCAGGCGGTTCAAAATCCGGCTGGGTTTCTCTGATTACCCTCTCGAAAACCTTTGGCTAGCTTGCAACGACCCAGACGGTCTGTAGACCGGTTGCTCTCAACCAATCTCAACTCCGAATGCTCTCAACTCTCAAATTGCCGGCTGCTCTCAAATTTTCAGAAATTTGGCAAAGTTTGTAAATGAGAGCTCGGGGGACATCTTCTCCTATTTATAGAATTTGTCCTAGAAGGTGAAAAGTCGTGACTCTTCGCCTTCTGCTTTTCCATCCTTCAAAAAGAATCTGAAGAGTTGTAAAAAAAAAAAAAAAAAAAACCTTTCACCGGCGCCACGTGGCACCCTGCCACGTCAGCACCAGTGAGGGGCAAATGTTTGGGGTAAAAATACCCTAAACACGTGGCCCAATGGCCTAGTGACACGTGGCATCCAGCCGTTGGTCAGCAGGGCTCCAATCCTCTGCTGACACGTGTCCTCTAAACCCTAAAAGGGAAACCATCCCTTCCCCACTATAAATAGTGGAAGGACCCTCATTAATGGGAGGCTGGAACATTTGTTGTTCACATTGAATACTCCTCAAAAAGAAAAACACTTACCCCGAGCAATATTAATTGCAGAATTCTCCCATTACGCGAGAAGTAACTTCTACATTACGTGCATTCTACCTCCCGTATCTTTACTAACTTGATCGTCGGAGGCGGAGCTCCTACCCCCAGGAGTCTTCGTGATTTTGCAGGCACAGGTGTCGAAGGGCATTCTTGGAATTGTAACTCTCCCGCAGGACACATCAAAAAACCCCGAAACACCTCCAATAGTCGATGATTTTGACACAAAGTTGAAATGAAAAGATCATAATGAAGGATTTTATGTCGCAAAAGAGAAGAATGAAGGAGGTATGAATTCTATGATTTTTTTTCCAATATGTGTTAGTAATTGCATAAATTTCTTATTATTGTTATGTGTTCAAGTTTATAATTTAAAAATGATATAAATCGATGTCTTAATTTATTTATGTCTTTTTTTTTCAGGTAAGTAATAATGGAGGATGAGGATTTGCATAATCGTTCCATGTCTTTGCAAAGTGAGGAAGATGAGCCACACAATCAATCACAATTAGAGCTACAAACAACCGACTCCCAGAAGAAGAAAAAAAAGCCAAGAGGTCCTTCAAAGGGCCTAAAATCCATGCCTGGGGTTCCTAGAGTGCTTGAATGGGATGAATTGTGTCGACCCATTGGAAAGTGGGCAAAAGCATACAAAATTTATGTTGGTGAAATAAGTCGTGCAAAGGTGTCTATATTGTATAAAGATTGGAATCAAGTTCCACAAGGAATAAAAGACACTTTGTGGGAAGATGTTAAGGTAATATTCACTATTATATGTTAAATGTTATACTATTATATGATCATTTTGACATTATTTGAATATGATGAAAACAATTTATTTGAATATGATGAAATTATTTACTAACTTTTTTTATTTTTTTAATTTTTTGCGTAGAGAGAGTTTCAAATCGAAGAAGATGAAGACAAGAAAAAAAAGGTCCTACGCACTTGTGATAAAACTTTGAGAGATTTCAAAACAAAATTGGTCAGTGGTTGGATCACATGTACCAGGAATATGCCGAAGGAGAAAAGAATGCCGTATGTACTCTATGATTTCATATCTGAGGATATGTGGAAAACATTTGTGGAGGAGCATACTACAGATGATTTTAAGGTTTGTGTGTATTAATATCAATGATCATGCGGGTTATTAATACTTTGTTAACGGATTCTTATGTACTAATCTTCATTTATGCTCGTGAAAATAGGAAATCAGTGAGAAGGCAAGACAAAGCCCGTCTTTCAACGAATACCTCACCATTTAGGAGCCAAATCATATGGTGAAATGAATATTGTATGGCGTAGAAAAGGGTATATTCCCACGACATCTTCAGCATCCAGTACTTCATCTTGTTCTTCGGTTGTGTCTAGTTTGCCGGATAGGACATATGCTTGGCTTCTAGCAAGATCAATAGAAGATGATAAGGGAAATCCTTATTTTCCGGATGAGAAAACAAGAGAGGTGAAAGAATCCATTGTAAGTATATAATAAGTATATGTAATAAGTCTTTATTTCAATTTTGAATATATTTTGTTAAGTTTATGTATTGCAACCAAAGTTTTCTAACTTGAAGTCATTGTGTAGGATAATTGGAGAAAGAAACAAGCTGAAGGAAACTTTGTTCGTAATAGGCATGATGATATCTTATCTCGTGCCCTTGGAAGAGCCATTTGCGTCGCTTGTTTATGAAGGAGCGACGCAAATAACAAAAAAAGTTTATCAAAAGAGTCATTTGCGTCGCTTGTTTATAAAGGGGCGACGCAAATGACTAAAAATAAGTTTATCAGAAAAGTCATTTGCGTCGCTCTTTTATAAAGGAGTGCCGCAAATAACAAAAAATAAGTTTATATAAAGAGTTATTTGCGTCGCTCCTTTAGAAAATAGTGACGCAAATAACCAAAAATTAGTTTGTCAGAAGAGTCATTTGCGTCGCTTATTTATAAAGGAGCGGCGCAAATGACAAAAAATAAGTTTATAAAAAAAGTCATTTGCGTCGCTTGTTTATAAAGGAGCGACGCAAATGACTCTTATTTGCGTCGCCCCTAGGAGCGACGCAAATGACTTAAAAGTCATTTGCGTCGCGAGCAGTTGCATCGCTCATAGAAGCGACGCAAATACACTATAAATGAGCGACGCAAATAAGCCTTTTTCTACTAGTGTTATTAATTATCTTATTAGGAATGATTTCAAGTACAAATTCCCTTTAAACTTGCATAAAGGGCGTGATCAAGAAATACCAATAATATAATCAGATCAAGCAACATAATAATAATATTGATCATAAACCAAGCAATCATAATCATCACAATAAAGCTTAATAATAATAGCAAGATCCTATGCATGATACTAACAAGATTAATAACAAATCCTAGCATGTCACTAAACAATAAAAATCAAAGCTTTAACCCTAACATGATACTAACATGATATTAGAAAGAATAGAAAGCACCCTAAACATGATACTAGAAAGCAATAAAGAAAATCTTAACATGGTACTAAGAATTAATATAATCTAAGCATGCTCTCTAAAAGAGTAGGAAGTAAGCTAATTACTTATTTTGATGCCTCGTACCTCTTTCTAATAACAAAATACACGCGTTAGTAAACTTCAATAAAATACTAAATCAAACAATTAAATTAAATAATTGAAATAGGGATTTGGGACCAAACCCTCAGAAAGTATCAACCTTTCACGTCGAGGGAGAAGGAAACTTAGAACTTGGCTAGGTGTGTCTAAGTCTTGTGAATGCGGAATTGTGTATGAAAAAAGGCTAGCTAGAAAGCATGAGAGAGAAAGAATAAGCTATTGCTTAAGAGAGAGAAAGATAGAATTTTGATGATTGTGGATGATCAAGCTTGTTGACGATTGAAAAACTGGAGATATGACCTCTATTTAAAGGAAAAAAAGAGTCTAATAATTAAGAAAAGAATCCGAATTCGAATCGAAATAAAACTCGACGGACAAATTCATGCGAATTTTGTATTATCATATCTTTTGATCCAAAAGTCCAAATAAGGCATATAATATGTTGTTGGAAGGATCTTGAAGTCTAAGTTCCAACCTAATTAGAATCATATTAAAATACTTTGTAGATAAAAATATATGGCCGAAAGAGTGGGACGGTGTTAGTTTTGGATAGAGTTTCGTATTTCTTCCATATCTTTTTCGTTATAACTCGGAATTAATATTATAATATATCATTGGAAAGATAATGTCAAGATCTATACAACCATATAATATTTGAATAAAAATTATGAGGCATGAAAATAATAACTGACTGTCGTTGAACATCTTTAAAAAGTAAAGTTTTAAAAAACGAAAGTTTTTATTCAATTTCAAATTCTTTAATCTTATCTTTTCAAAACGGATAATTAAGATCTTTTAGAAACTTATAGAAGCTTATAATTAATCCTAACTTGTTTAGGAATGGGATTAAACCTTTGGACCCTCCACATGATCATTTTGTCGTATTTAAAATTCGGTTTGGGTCCAGTTTAGTATTTTGGCCATAACTTTCTCATTATTCATCGGAATTGGGCTTATAATATATCGTCAGAAAGGTCTATTCAAGCCCCATCCAAATACATAATTATTGGACCCATAACATGGACCAAAATAAATTTGACTGACTATTTTCATAAATAGAGTACATTTTCGAAAACAGAAAGAAATATATATTATTTAAAATAACCGCATCACTAGACTATTCTCACTCTCACTTCGATCGATAATCAGCGACGTGAAAGATATTCATCACTAGGTTTGGTTGTTTAGGAGACACATTTGGGTGTCTACAAGTAACATAATTCTGATGCCACGAAGCAGTCGTTTTTCACGATGCCCACGACCCAAATTATCCGACGAACTCCTTCTCATATATTCTAGCAAAATAAAAATATTTTCACCATCCATCTCTTGCTCAAGAACAACTCTTGAGATAAAACCATGATTATCGACCTCACCGGAGCACACCTGATTTTGTTCCGGCAAGCTAGCCGCATTTTTCGGCAAAACAACCACATGCGGCGGCGGGGCAGGTGGCTGGCAGGTTACTACCACAACTGGAAAGGGCTGCTAGCAGGTGGGGCACGGTGGCGCTGCTGCCAGCACCCGATGGTTTTCCATTGGGTTGGGCAGCTTGCTGGCTGTGTTTCCTAGCGAAGCTGCCATCGCCCAATGGATTTCCATCGGGCTGGGCCGAATGGGGGGGGCTACTAGGCACTACCAGCAGGCGATGGGGGGGGGGGGCGAGCAGACTGTGTCGCAGCCTGGCTGTGGCTGGGCGGTAGCTGCAACGACTAAGCTGCGGTGCGGGCTGTTTCAGCCGCGGCTCCTCTACCTTGCACATCAAACGAACCCCCAAAAAACTCGGTATCCTCAATTCGAGAAATATTTTTCCCACAATAATCTCCGTTCATTCGGAAGAGACTCAAGATACGAGAATTTATCCTCAAAAAATTTAACATCCCGACTTACAAAAAAATTATTTGTCTCTAAATCATAAAGACGCCAACCTTTCTTTACATGAGGACAACAAACAAAAATACACATTCGACTCCGAGAATTAAACTTGTCCTTATCTCGAGGACAATTCGCAGCATAAGCAGGACAACTAAAACCCGTAAATTATCATATGAAGGTGACACACCAAACAAACATGCATGAGGGGTTTTACCTTGTAACACTGAAGAGGAGTTCGATTAATGAGGTGCACCGGTGTAGAGAATATTTTAAGCATTACCCCAAACCTGAACCCCACTGTGATCATACACTTAAGCATGGTTGCGTCCAAAGGAAAAGAAGATAGAGCAAAAGAGTCGCCAACAAGTTTTAGGAACTTGTAAACCGTTCACGAGGTGAAGGTTATACCCCTTAACGATCCAGGAGATCGTTAACTCCAATAGATCTGGAACCATGAATGGTAGTTCGAGGATGAAGGTACAAATCCAACCTAAAAGAGATTGAACCTACCCTAATAATAGGCCACTACTTTATTCGATCTGATCGTATTCATGTGCGCTTTCTGATTAACATGCAATCAATAGGTTTAGCCCTAAACCTGTTTAATCTATGTTGGTTGAATTTAATGCACAAATAAAACTATTATTGGTGATCGCTTGAATTATAATCAAATTAACCCTAAACAAGATTATTAATTATCTTATTAAGCGTGATTACAAATACAAATTCCCTTTAAACATGCATAAAAGGTGTGATCAAGTAATAACAATAAATATATATCAAGAAACATGATATTAACAAATTATATATAAGTTATTCGCTAATTAATAAATAACATGAAATAATTTATAAATTAACAAATTACGTGAAACAATTCGTTAATTAACAAATTACGTTAAATTATATAGTTTGACACAACAATAATCATAATCATAATCATGTTAATCATAATATTAATTGCAAGATCATTGGCATGATACTAACAAGATTAATAACAAAATCTAGCATGTCACTAAACAATAAAGATCAAATATATAGCCAAAACATGACACTACTATGAATATTAGGAAAGAAAGTAGGAAACATCGCAGGAATCACAATTGTCATATGTGATATTAGAAATTATAGTTATTACCTTAAACATGATACTAGAAAGATCAAAACGCCCTAACATGACACTAAGAATCATAAAAACAACCTAGACATGATTTCTATATCATAATATCAATAAAACCATTAAAGCACTTACTTGGATTCCTCATATCTTTTTCTAATAACAAAATACACGCGTTGGTAACTTCAAGTAAAATAATAAAATAAAACGATTAAATCAAATAATTATTGAAATAGAGATTTGGGACCAAACCCTCAGAATTAAAACCATTCACGTCTAGGGCGAAGGCAATTTCGAACTTGGCTAGGTGTGTCTAAATCTTGTGAATGCGGAATTTTGTATGCAAAAGGCTAGTTTAGAAAAGAGATAGAGAGAGAGAGAGAGTAATCAAGAGATTCTTGATGAGAGTTGGTGAGAAGAATTGATGAGAATTGATAGTTGCTGATGATTGAAAACAGAATTTTAGGAGGCTATTTATAGAGAAAATCAGCCGGATTTGATAAAAAACGAATCAGAGTTTTGAAAAGAATAAAACAAATTGGCGCCAGACGCCAGACATTAGCGTCAGACGCCAAGCTTGGCGCCAGGTCCTGTCGTCAGACACTAGAAAACAGTTTCCACGCGTTTTCTTATTTTGATGAAATTTAGTCGTACTGGAGGGAAAAATCGTATTTTCCTTAAAAACAATTCTTTTATTCAGATTAAAACTCTAAAAAGTCAACTAAAGTCAATTTATCAATGCTAATTAAATTAGGAATGAAAAGAACCTTCTAGAAGAAACTAGAAGACTATAATCAATTATAATTGCATTAGGAATGATAAATCAATATTAGGCCCTCCTCTATATCATTGGGCCGCATATAAAGATCAAACCAGTCCCAGTTTAATAATTGGCCATAACTTCCTCATTGTTCATCGGAATTGGGCTTATAATATATCGTTGGAAAGCTCTTTTTGAACCTGACCCAACTACACTATTATTGGACCC